CAACAACCTTGTGCTTGAATCCTCACTCAGGACTTTTCTGTAAAACTGGAGGAAAAGAAAGAAAAAGATTATCAACAAAAAGAAAACAACTACCTTCTGCATTTGCTTTCACATTTATGTGACAAGTTGTAGGATACCAAAACTCATCTTACTTTCAGCGTTATTTGGAAACCTGATAAATATCTCAGCCCTGAGATGCTGATGAAAGCTCTGTGCAAGTGTGAAGTGATGGTTCATAGTGCTTAAAGCTACTTTTTTAACAAATTTCATTATTAAAATAATTAGCCTTTGATGTATGCTGTAGCTACTGTTTAAATTCCACTTCCCTACCAGCTCATATAAAGTTTACAGCTCACTATTCACTTTCTTGTTTTATAATACCAGTTTATACAGCATTTCCAATATAATACTAAAGGGAAAGGAAATCATAGATATATTTATGATTCAACACTGCTAGGAAGCACCTGTCTTGTGAAACAGGTACTGAGAAATCTCTTAGTCTTTGCAGCAGTGACTGAATAATGCTCAGTTTTGCATCTCTTTTGTCTAGACAGGAATCCTTCCAGACAGGTCATGTGCTGAGATATAATCAGGACTAAATAACTTACTGTAATATTCAGTAAAGTTGATTGTGGTCACTCTTCTATAGCCAAGGACAGGAGTAATCATATGGTTATTTATGATTCTCACATAGATTTATTTTCACAAAGTTTTACCTGGAACCTCAGAGAAATAAATACCTGAAGAATTTTTTTTTTTTTTTAAAGATGCAAACCAATAAAAAGTCTCATAGATTGTTTACTGAGATCACTGGAAAATGACTGTCAGTGTAATCTTGACTTTAAAGCAAAACTAGGAATAATAGTTTGTGTCAGCTTTGAACTTTACTGAATGACAAATAGGCTCCTCAGCTTGTACTAACTGCTGATGTATTGTTAGCCAGTAAATTGTGTGCCTTGCACCCTCTCTTACTGCTAGACATTAAGTGCATTTCCTAAGCAAGTCTAATCTCATACAAGAGCAAGCAGCAGTATGCTAGTCAAACATATCTTTCCCATTGATACGTAATTTATTCATCATTTTCTTCTTGAAATTTAAAATTGAGATCAACGCTAATGGCTGCACTTGCCAGTCTATTTGTTATGGCATTTTTTGTAGACATCTAGAGACTTTCATGCTAATGATTGGCCATCTCTTTCTGGACAAAACCAAATGATGATATGACTTCCTTCAACTTTTCTTGGACATCCTCATGACTTTGGAGACTATCAGGTTTAAACTCAAGCCTGTCATTGCCATATTTACCATCCTGAGCTCTACCTCTATAAATGAAGCAATCCTGAAAGGAGAGCAAAAATCATATGTTAATAAGTATGATTGATTCTCTTCATGGTAGATGAATGGAGAAAAAGGGAGAAAAGATGTAACGTCCTTTGTCACACAGCTTCTTTCCCACAAGATAATATCACTTTGGTAGCATTATAATTCTCTGTTTACTCCTTGACTGTTTGAAGGGAGATTTAGGTTAGATGTCAGGAAGAAATTCTTTACTCAGGCTGGTGAAGCACTGGCAGTGCTGCCCAGAGAAGCTGTGGGTACCCAGTCTCTGGAGGTGCTCAAGGCCAGGCTGGATGGGTCCCTAGGCAGCCTGAGCTGGTGGGTGGCAGCCTTACCCACAGCAAGGGGGATTGGAAATAGATGATCTTTGAGTTCTGTTCCAACCCAAGCCATTCTATGATTCTGTGACACTGCCTGACTATTCAACACTGCATGACTGAGGAAGGCTCTGGCTTTCCTTCATTTTGAGTAAAGGATTCCATTCCCCCAGACCAATGGTATGCTTATCTGCTGAAGTACTCAAAAGGGGATGAGCCAATCCAGTCAGGTAGCCCAGATGTTTGTAACAGAAGAGATTAAATTGTTTGAGCTAACATGTATTTGCTGGGAAAGAGTACAGCCCAGTGCCTTTGTGTCTACTCTTTGCCATTCAAGTATAATAGTTTAAAGTGGAAAAGCTTTGGTAATCTAAAAAGCTTTTGTTAGTGTCTATATTATGTTAAATACATAACGTGAGGGAAGAGTTTTATGTTGTAAAACAACCATGTGTACCCCACTGAATAAATAGCAATCAGTTAATTAGAGACAAATTTAAGGTATTTGTTCATGTCATAGGAATCAATAGAAATACTCTAGATTTATTCTCTAAATATTAGTTTGCTGTGGGTTGTAGGTTTTTGTTTGTTTGTTTGTTTCCAAATAGCCATTTAAAAATTCTCTAACTTCAGTTCTAATTTCTCCTCTCAATTGTTTTCCTATTTTAATCACACCACAGCAGTTTTCCTTATTCATGTGGAAGCACTCAGTTTTTTTCAGCACGACTGCTAGGAAACAAGATAAATTGCAATCTACTGGAGAGTATGACTTTTAAACCTATAAAATTAGTGGTTTAGATGCAAGCTGAAAATTGGCATTATCAAAAACAGACTGTGTTCCACTTTTAACTCTCAGTGTCTCTAAGACCTAGATGACACAGTGTCCTGAAAAGCTCCAGCCTAGAAGAGACAGGAACACTTTTCCCATCTCCTGAGCATCTTTAACATTTTCCAAAATGTTTCTGTCCAGAATAGCTGAAAAATCTGCTCAGACGTAGCATTCCTTCCTGGGTAGAAAATCTGGAAATTTGTTAGGATTAATGGAAACACTGATTTTTTAGAATCCTTTTATTCCAGTTCCCAATATAAAATAAAATACCACTACTTCAGTGAGATACGTTGGCAACTTCCAAACTCTATTTCAAATAAGATTTTTTTTTTAAGAGGACATCTGTCAAAAACAATTGCTTCAACAGTCAGTTTTGTTTTTGACAAACATGATCTTTTCTATTTGAAAAATTCCTGACCAAATCTATTCCGGAATGACATGGGAATTGGCTAGCTGTTGGGCACTGTGCAAAAGAAATATGATATTTGCACTACCCAAGCAAGCTGTTACTGAAGGCATAAAATTAAGGTGATGTTATATAAGGCAGCTTCTTTCCCAGAAAAAAATCTTGTAAGTGCATAAAGCGTTACTGATTTTGTTTGTTGTGACAGCATGGGGAACTAGCATAGCCAAATTGGGATTGCTTCATGCCCTGATGTGGAAAGCATCTGCACTTATTAATATGTCCTCCGCAGGACAGCAGTATATATCAACATGCATAATGTCAGTGGCTCAAAATTTGGAATTTTACAAGAAAAGGGAGTCATCAGCATCTCATTCTCATGAAAAAGAAAAATATATATTAAAAAAAAAAAAAAAAAAAAAAGATTTCCCTTTGCTCTGTAGAATGGTCTTAGTGATAGTAGCATCCAGTAAGCAAGTTAAGTTCTGCTAACTGCAGGACTACAGAAAACTATCTAAGTGTACACAGTCGCACATCTTTCAATTCCTGTTGTAATGCATTAACAAAATAATTACTTTGCCAGTTGTAAATTAACCTTCCCTATGAGCATCCAAACATTCTTAGGCTAAATTTTCAGGAAAATAACAGGTGCTCTTTGTTGCTACTGTACCTCCCACCACCCTTGCCACTACCACAGCTGCCTCACTAGAAGAGGAGGTGGAAAGGTTCATAGAGACAGCAGCAGTGCTTGCAGCAGGAGCTCTACTTGTGGAGGTGGAAAAGGTACAATGATAAGAGCAGAGCAAAGGAATCTGATACAGGTTGGATGAGCAGGAAGTTCTGCAGTCCTAGGGTGCAGAAATGAGATGGCAGAGAGATTTCAAAAACCATTTTATTTCACCAGTAAATCTTTTTTTTTTTTTTTTTTTTCTTTTCTACTAACACAGATGGGGACAAATGCATTCTCCTTCTTCAGATCCAGCTTTCCAGCCACAGCCTACTGGGGGCAGATATAATTAATCTTTTCCTTATGCACTTGAGAGTGCATTGGATTACTCTTTAAGTCTCAACTTCCCCCCTTGTTCCCTATGGGGGAATTTATTCACTGCTACTCACTTTGAACACCCAAATCAATATGTTTCAAGAGAGTCTGAATAAATTATGTTTGGAAATTGTGGTGAATAATTCTTTATTTAAAAAAAATCAAACTATAATTGAGAGGGAATGCACCATATGTAACACTGATGCAGAACTGAAAAAACAGAGAGTTGCCACAGATACTTAACTCACTAAAGCAGTCCAATCTTTAATGGGAAGGTTTTGGATCAAGAAAACAAAAACATGGTAGGTACTCGAGTTTTTAGCATGGTGGAAGCTCTTCTTCCAACTGCAGCAATAATAATTGTCTACTTTGCTTGGATCTCGCATTAAATTCTGGACTTGTCAAGAGGACAAGAGATCACTGTCTCTGTCTCAAAATATAAATGATAATACTTTTCTGACTTGAGATCAGAAAGAGAACATGAATATCACTGTTACAGGAATCCCCTGTAACTCCCATAAATTAGTTAAAATTCTTCTTGTTTCATCTTGTTTGTACATGTACCATTAGAAATGGGGAGAGGAGGAGAAGGGAAAGCAGAACACCGGGACTGTAGCAACAATAAATGACTTGACCCAGGTCCAGCATGATTCACTAACAGCCTACCAAAATGCTGACTGAAATGGAGACTGCAGCCTCAAACAGCTGAATGAGAAGTAGGTATGCTCAGGCTGACTGGCACTGCAGCAGAGGAAGAACACCTGCAGGAACGTCCATGGAGTGTTTACATTTACCACTGACTAAGGACCTCCAAATTTGGCCTATTGCTACTAACGTGACAAATAATAGTTTCAGTATAGAAAATTAAAAGTGTGAGTAGAAAAGGACTTGATCCAGCAAAATTACTCTTCTGGAATGATTAGTGTAATGCTGAGTCACGGCCTGAAAGTGATTGAGCACCTGGTGGAAGGCAGGGCTGACCCAGGGGAGCACAGGTGCATGCAGTGCACCTGAGAGACAAGAACGGGTGGAGCCAGGATCCCAGGCCTCATTTAAGGGTTGGCAAGAGCATCTCTTGCTAGAGATCCTTGTCTGCCTGGAGTATTTCAAAGGTAAGAAGTTTTTCTTCCTTTGTTTTTTGTATCCACAGCTGCCACATTTGGGTTTGTTCTCATTTTCTGCTGCCCAGGAATATGCTACTCTGCTGTTATTTCTGTACTTTCTATTATGTTATAGCATTACAGTTAGAATTTTGAAAAGCCTGTAAGGTTGGTAGGAATGGCAGTGAACTTTTTCAGCTCCTTTGGCTCTAAAACAGGTATTAATTTGGGTAAAGTAAAATTTAAAAAAAAAAATTAAAAAAGTGCAGACAGTGGTGGTCTGTAGTATTTAAATAACTTCATCTCAAGTTGTTGAAGCAGCTCTACAAAATTTTTAAACTGGTATTCAGAAGTATCGAAGCATCATTTGAGTAACTCTGAACAAAGCATTTCAGACATTTGTTGTAGAAAAGTAGCTCTGTACTGCACTAGGATGTCCTCTACTTGCTGTTTCCTATAATTTGCTTTCACTGTTGAAACTTCAGTGATATATCATGTGATTTAGATGAAAAGGAGAAAATAGTGCATCATAAGAGATAAATCTAGCAAATACTCCCAGGATTTGGAAAACTGATGAATCATGACATCAGTGGTGGAAACATCCTAATGTTGAACTGAAAAGTTGAAAAAGGGAGAGGGTTCTCCAAACCAGAAAGTGATAACAAAACCAGCAAAGTCTTTCCACTACTACCATGCCCTTAGTAACCTATAATATTGCAAAAATGAAGTTTTCCAGTGATCACAGGGAAGTTTGATTAGTCTTTGGCAGAATCAGGTTAAATGTTATTTGCTAATTTGTAGCAAGGCATATGTACTAGTTTGTGTGGAATCTTTAGTATTTTTTTCAGTTATAGAACTGGAAAATACCCTCAATTTATCTATCTGCTATCATCACCGGCATTTAGTTTGTGTCTTATTTGCTGGGAAATAAATGCAATTGCAGTTATGAATATTACCGAGTAATTAACAAGCGATTCAGATCACTGCAGATTACTTGGAAGTTTTATTTACAGATAAGCCTGTAGGATACCTGACAACTTCGTGAGAGACCAAACTACCAGTACAGAATGGTGAACTACATAACCTATGTATTTTTCACAAATACATTTCTTGTACAGCTGAATTAGTTGTCATGTTGAAGTAAATGGTATCAGTGGAGTATTCAGCTTCTGAGCTTTCATCACTTTCATTAGCTAGCTGCATTCAGTTCATCTGTAATGATTAATCAACTTGAATAAATCTCCTGGAAACATTATTTTAACCACTTCCTGCTCGTGTCTCATTAAAACACTGTCTCTATATGATAGGGAAGGGTGGCAGATATATTTACATACGAATAGGAAAAAAAAAAGTCTTCCTTGTTGCCATATTCCTCCCCCAGTAAGAATTGCTTTTGGTGTTAGCCCCTACAGGAGAAGCTCATTCCAAACATCATCATTGGGGGACCCTTGCATGTTCAGCTCTGGTGCTCATAACAGTGGCTACATGGGAGATGCTTCCACATCAAGATCCTGGTTCAGAGCAGACTAGGAGCAATGAAGATCATTCCCCCTAGCTTTAGAGAAAAGAGGGGGCAGATCATCCTCCACTGGGAGCCAAAGTTTTCTCTGGAAATGGGGAAGGCTTTCAAAGAAGATTCATATATGCTTTCCTTTTGGCAGAAATTGGAGCTATCCAGAAAAGAAGTCAGGCAGGAACATCCATGTTTCAGGAAGTAGACAACACTGAAGAATCTGACGTTTGTTATTTTTGCTAACTTGAGCAGAAATGGTTAACCACAAGGCTGTGTTCAAAGTATGGGAAATACACATAAATGAGCCTTGGAAACAACGTGCTTTTGAGCGAGGTATTGCATATGCAAGTGAAGATGGAGCTTTTGTCTGGCTGAACAACTAAAGACAATTTTGGGAAGGTTTGTTTTAATATTAAAGTGAACTTGGACTGCAGTTTGAGACAAAACTCTTGGTGCACTAAAGTATCAGAATTAACTTTGCAGTATGATTGTTTGATGTGCAAAGGAAGTACCCCTACCTGAAGTCCTGAATGAGAAACAGGAATTTGATACTAAAGACAGTGAAGAAAAATATAAAGTGCTTTTTTAAATATAGACTTGAAGTATAGCAGCGTTCAGAATTAATATGCAGTAGCCTACAAGTAATTCAGATGTGGTTGCCCAGCACGGGAAAAAAAAGAGGGAGCTGTGTTAGAATATGCTGTTGGGAAGAATATGCAGACTTCAAGGAAAAAATGATGAATGCAAGGTGACTGTCTGACTGAGTGCACAGAGGATTGTTTGCTAGCACTCTTGGACTGTGCTGGAATAAAAGATGACCAGGTTATTAGCTGCAAATCTCAGCTGTTAGTTGAATGCTGATGTCACATTAGTGTAGTGCTGGAAGCTCTAGAAGTACCTCAGAAGGAGAAGCAGCAGACAGTAATACATAACTAGGAAATGAGGTTTGCATGTTGGCCTTTTCCTCTGTTAAAGGACAACTAAGCAACAAACAGAAAAGATGATACCCACAATACCACTGGGAAAAACTGCTCCTGTTAAAGTTATCATCACTTACACCTTTTCTTCTACATCAGCTATCCTTCCTCCAGAAGAGGCTCCAGGTAGTGTTCCAGAGACCTCTGACACAGAGGTTTCTGAGGGTGCCATACTGGCTGCATCAACCCCATTTATTTCCATATCCATAAACTTTTCTGGGCACTGTATGGCAGTTCTTCTCCACCAGTTGTCTCTAAACGTAGCTGAATAACTCTACTTGAATTTACCATTCTTCTGGTCTATAATGTGTTATGAAGCCACTTCAAGAGGTGTTTATTAGAACAAGCAAGGACTAGGAGATTGGCATTAGGCATGCTGACATGCGTCAAATGTGCTATGAGGAAGTGCTGAGCTTTGCCTTTCCAGTTTTTCATTTACTGAATATGCCGAAACTTTGCACAAGTCATAAGTCAAATATAAAACAATATGAAAGCATCTTTAGTTTGAGAGCTCTTGAAACAAAGCAGTGCGCTCTCTTATTGAGAAATGTTGTCTCATGTCCCTGTGTGAAGTCTCTGTTCTTAGTTATCATTGCACTTAGTTGCACATCTCCTGTCAATAAGTGCATTGTAGAGATCTGAGGCTACTCAATCATGTTGAAAACTCATCAACTTTGTCTAATACTAAAAATGCAGGTACTTTCCAGTAATTAAAATCAATTCCAGAGTTTCCCAGCTCTCTTGCACATATCTTTTAAATAGTGAAAACAGTATCTAGCCCTCTAATTACTCTAGATATAATTTTTTTTATGATTCAGACAGGAAACTGCTGAAGTAATTTCACTGCCTAGAGGAAATATATTTCTTTATGCGACTCTCTCTCATTTATTTAAACACTGTGCTACACATGATTAAAAAGGTGCTAAGGAACTTCTCTTGTGGAATCTACAGTGTCTGGCAGTAAAAACAGGAGGACATCAAATAGTCTGTGCTGCCAGTGAGCACGGAGTTGGTAGGAAGAGAAGTGATATACCAAACACTCGCATCAAGCTTTGTTTTGACATCTGTGAAGACAATATTCCAAGAGACGTCATCTGTTGATCTTTTGGGTGCTATTTATCTAAATTAAATAATTCCACTCTACCTCATTGCATACTCAAGTGCAAAAGGTATTTGAGTGTCTTACTGTATAGTAACATAGCTGGTAAATCTGATAATGCTAAGCAATAGATCAGAGTTTCTAAGTATTCAAATCTGGCTAGATGTGACATCTTCATACCAAAACTTGTATGTTCCCAGAGATTAGAAAGCTTTCAAGTTTTCATAGTTTTTTTTTTTTTTGTCCCATCCATTTGAGAATTAGAATTTAATTTTTAATAATGGCATGATAACTAGACTTGGATTATGTTATTATAAAAGTTAAAGTTATAATAAATCATGGAAGCAGAGTAGCTTCAAGTTCATTCTTTAAACTTTCTAAAAATAAGACGTTACGTATCTTGTATATAACACATTTTTGAAGTTCCCCTATAAGTAGTCTTCAAAAGGGTTTTCTGCCTCTTTTTTGCTCTTTTCTATGCAGCAAATGATTTGCAATTCTTTTTCTCTTCTTCAGCTTTGAAACAAATGCAATAGCGTCACAGCATTTCCTTATCACACACTGCTTCAAGAATAGCATTGTACTGTGAGGAGGGGGGGAAATAACTTCTGGAAAATTATTTACTCTTGGTGCATGAATTCCAAATTCAAGCATCTTTTTCCAAGAGAAAAAAAATAGGGGATTCTGTCTAGATAAACCTGTATTTAGCATTTGTACAGATACTAAAGTAGTAAACTCAAAAAAAAAAAAAAAAAAAAAGAAAAAATCCTTTCTATATTGTTTTTCTGTTCTGAAATAATATGAATGTTGTCCATACTGCACTAGCTATCAAATTCTACAAGAAGACATAACTTATTCTTTTCTGTTGGCAAACATGAAATAACATGTGGGTAGCTTACTATGAAAACTTGTTTTCTGGTATAGTTGGAAATCTGTAGTTTTTAAAACTGGTGTTTAAAAGGTGGAAGATAAATAAATGAAGGGTGAGTAAATCATAATTGCTTTTGCTTTCTCTGTACTTCTGTATGTTCTTTCTGGCATGCAGCATGCTAATTTACTCCCCATACTAGCTTCAGAATGTCTCCAGCTCCCTCAGTCTGGTATTCTGTGAATCTCTCTGAATTTAGTGATACTTGTTCAAGTGTTAGGCCTTCTCTGCATAGTTCAGATGTTTATGCTGTGCCTTTCCATCACACCACTGTGGTTAGGAAGAGAGATTGTGCTACAAGGGTCCACTACCTGACATTATAGTGTACCAGCAGCCACATCAGTTTGTGGCAGTAGGAAAGTGAATTTCAGCCCATCCTCCCAGATAAGCTAGCAAGTCAGAAGCTACCAGGGACTAAGGCAGCTAAGGCAAGTGCTCAAGCAATGCATGCACAGGAGGTTGTCTTTTTCTACTTGTAAATCCTTCCAGCAAGGGAAGGGATTAAACAAGTAAAGGAAACAAGTGCAGGAAAGGAAATAAAATTTAAAAAAAAAAAAAAAAAGCTTGAAGAGCTTCATTACTGTGAAAATCACCATCATGTTCTTTTTTGCTGTCAAGAAAACTTGGAAGAAAACAGCTTCAGGGCTGAGACTGGTGGTTTCCACTGCCCAGAAATGTGTAAAATGTGGAGTGTGCCTCAGCTTTTCCATGAGAATCAAGCAGAACTTTTACATTTTTGACCAAAGCAAATGTTGTTGCTGAAATGTTTGTTTTGTTGACATATATATAGCTCAAGACACACAGAAATTGAAAGCTGTGCATCTATTTTTGTGTACCTCTGTGCAAGTACCAAAAGAGTCTCTCATACAAATATTGATGCTTTTCAAGTAAAATAGTTGATACCTGCTCTATTTTTTTTTTTTTTTTTTTTTGCTCCAAAATGGTTCTAACCCAAGATTTAGTGAAGTAAATCCATGCTTTCTGTCCTCCAGTTTTGTTCATTTTTCTCTCCGTTTACCCACGGCCCTCAGCTCCCTTTTTTACTTCAGGCTAGTTGTTTTTGTGTGTTGTATTTGCTGACTGCCCACCAAGAGCAGAAAGGGAGAAAAGAACTCTGAATGACTGCTCCCATGCTTGTGGCTGTGAACTGGGGATTGCATCTGTCTCAGATTTGGAGAAACCCTGAGGAAGTCTGAGGCAGCAGTGCTTGCTGCAGATTTGGCGCCTTCACAAACTGCTGTTAATGAGGAAAAGAGACACTTCCACTTTATAAGTGGGAAATCCTTGCATGTGATGCTGCATGTAGGACACAAAACTTGGAACAGCAGATGGTAAAGTGAGAGTCACTAGGAGGGATGTGTGACTAACAGGAAGGGAAAGCATCGTCCAACACAGAGTGAGACAGACCAGTGGAAATGCAGGAGTTCAGGCAAGAAGCCTTCTCCAAGCATGGAAGTAAAAGCTGCTTCTCTGGAAAGAGAGAAAGAAACTTTGTTGTATTTTTTTTGTGGGAAGAAAGAAAAGCAGATGGAAAGGGTCTAAGGCATCTATGTTAGGAATGGTGCCTGAAGCATAAGAAGCTAATATTCAGTAACGGGGGGGGGGGGGGGGGGAAAAAGATGAGGTTTGTTTATTTTGCTTTCAACCTAACATCTGGGCTCACAGAGGGAACTGACACATTGCAAGACAAGACTGGTATAAGAACTTGTAATTTCAAAAATTACCATGGTTCTTATATGATTCCCTAATTTAAAAACACACAATTTATAGAACATGTGATTTCAATTTGTAGCAAAGATTTGGGTGACAATGGTAGGTTTCTTCCTAGAGCTTCAATCTAAAAAATTAATGGCAACAGAATCATTCAGAAAAAAAATCAATGTCTTCCTAAACCGAAAATTAGTTATATGTATGAAGATGTATTTAGAATGTTGCAACCAATCTTGAAGGAAGCCTAGTAAACTGTATTTTTAATGATAAGAATGACTGTTAGTCCATATCCCAAAAATGAATTAGCTATCTGGAACGTACTCAGGTATGACTGTGATTATGATTTTGTTCTTTGCAAAGTACTCAGTGCATGGAACTCTTACCATATGCAGTGACATTGCACCAATGGTGTAGAACCAATCCTAGTACTAGTAAGCACAAATTATGTAGACAGTCACAAAACAGCAGAAAGATCTTGTCATCTGGAAAGATAACTAAGAGATTGGCAGATGACAAGGAAGGGATGGAGAGGGATCCCTTCTATGTTGTGCTGAATCATTCCTTGTACCTTATCAGATTCTAATTATAGCCCCATCTTTTCTGATATATAAAGACCTACCTATGACAGTCAAACACATAATGAAAGGCTTGATGTGACAGAGATGTAATTATAAGAATGCTGAGGAATAGTAGTGCCAGAAATCTGAGCCTGTTATGCAAGTGAGCGAGTGGTTAGCCACACCAAGGGCTAGAAACCAAAAGCCCAAGCTTCTAGGGACTGCAGCTACAGACTTGGGATGGTGGTGGGCATACTGTAGAGTAATAGTGGACAGTGTTTTACTCTATCATACGGATACAGCAGGTACTCTTAAAACAGAGTTAACAGCTAAGGAAGAAGTCAGAAGAGAGAAGTTTGCTGTCAAGAGACAATAAGAAAGGTAAATAAACAGAGAAAATAGCAAGGTGGAATCAAGGACTCTGCTATTAGCACAATGCAATGAGAGAACCAAGGCTTTAAACTTAGTTCTGTGAATCTAAATACCAGCATGGTAGGAAAAAACACATCCCCTGTCATGAGCAGAAACTGGTTTCCTCTCCCTTTCTCTAGTCAGCAAGCATCAGCACCAGTCAGAGGAGTACACATACTAGAAGCTTGCTTTTCAATGGAAGATAGCATAGCTTGCAGGGAGGTGAGGATTGGAAGAGGCACAGGAACTAATGTGTATATGCACAACCCAAGCACTACTTTTTTGAGAGTAAATATGTCAACAACCTTCCCCCACTTTTCTTATTGGCAGATACTTGCTGCAGCAGGCTCTTAGTAAGCCTATCTGTAGTGTGCGCTTGCATTAACCTCCCACTGTTTCCGGCTATTCAGAAGGATGCTAGATGCCTAAACCTGTTGCTCCTTCCTGCCACCTTCTGCTCCCTTCCTCTTTTTCTGCTGTGCTAGCGAAAACCCTTTTCTCTGTCACACTAATCTCTTGAATGTTTTTATTTTACTTTTTTGATTTTCTTTTGTACCTTTGATGTGTGAGGAAAGGAAGGCTGGAACACAGGAGGGTCCAGTCAGAGGATATCTCAGAAGTCAGTCAGCATGATGACCAAGTCATGTTATTACAGGAGACCTACTTTATAGAAGCCTCCTTCAGGCTACTTCTGTCTGAAGTTGCAACTTCTATTTCTGGAGGGAATTTGGGGGAGGCGGGAAAAAGTACTTTGTATGAAGATGCAAATGTTCATTTTACAGTGAAGAATGATGGTTTTAGTCATTTCAGAGACTAGAGCCACATCCAAAGTGGTTTCATAAAATCTGTTTTCACTCTAAAACCATTTTTATAATGCCTTCTTTGTTTTTCACTTCATAGTAATATGCACATTATAAATGAAATTTGTGTGCATTTATTTGATTAAATACTGCATCATTTATGTAAAGTTGCTGCTGTTTCTTGCCTGTGGAAATTTACCGGTGTGGTCTTAAGTGCAGAAAATGAAGTTCACCAGCATTAAAGATTGTTGGATAATTTCCTTGCACATACAAATATTTTTCTCCTACACTTGCTACAAATTCTACTGACTGAAAAATTAAAAACTATACTCACTGAAACTTGTACAAAATCTGTGCAGTTCATATCACCAAAAATGACTTCTGGCTTTCCATACAGAAAATCGGCTTTAAGAACAGATAAACACATTTAGAAACCAGAGCCCTAATGCTTGCAGTAAAGCTGTTTGTGTTCTCTAGTGTATTATAGTTTTCTTTTATGATGAGGGTCATGGACTTTAACAAACATTTATTTAATTTTTTTAGCAACAAAGAAAGTAATTATTCTCTCTCTAAGGAGAACATCTTTGCATCTTCCAAAAGCGTGGTGGCTTCACGTGTCTTAAGTCAGATGCAACCATGCCAGCTACAATCAATAGGTAGAGATATAGCATAATAGGAGATTCTCAGATGTTTCTCAAAGTTGTAAAAATAAAAACAATATGCTTAAAAAAAAAAAAAAATTAAAGCTTTCCTGATGAGTTTTCTTTTTCCTTTTTATGAAATCTTTCTGAAGGCTGTAGAGCGCTCTTAATCATAATTTTAGTACAGCTCTTTAGAAACCACATGCAGGCATCTCAAACTTTTCAATAATGTATATTACTGTCAGACTTAATGTTTTGTTTCTTAGGAGTAACGTCTGATTCGCAAGTACAAATGCATATCTACTTGATGAGTATTGTAGAAATTTCAGTTGGGCTTCCTGAGGTTCCTAAGTTTACCACAAAAGATAATAAAAAGAAATCTCAGAAATCCTTTATGAGCACACAGGATGCCTAGAAAAGTCATAAAAAGAGTATTACTGTATGCAAGGCAAAGACTTCAGAATGTTCAGCCAAAATTGCACAATTTTAAGTTAAATGAATTTTCATGGAGCAGTGCTCCATTCTAGTAACATATTTAGCATCTTTTTAGAACTTAGACTTGGTGCAAAATATAGATTTTTTTTTTTGAAGAACATGGGAAAACAAATTTGTTTAAATTTGGAGTTACATTTCAAAGTTCTGACACATCTGCTGTTAAACAGAATGGTTTCTAGAAATCAAGTTTGCTTTGATCTTTCTTTCAGAAATGCTTATTCTTAACAATAGAAATATTTAAACTTTCCATATTGCTGAAATTAATTTAAATTTTACAAGTAGGATACATTCAGAGGAATTTAGGTGCATTGTTACCAGTAGTTTCTAATACTCTTTAATGGACTACCAGTACATTGAAATAAGTAAATGGAGCCCAAGGTAACTCAGTTACATAGCTTCTTCTGGTAACCTTATTTTACTCTATTACTTTAATATTTCACAAATAAATAAATGTAAGTAGTTGTCAAGATCCAGTGGCACAACAGAGAATGTATCTGTGTTAAGATATCTCAGAGAACAAATGTCATTGCTTCGTGAAGCATGTATAGGTAGTCAGTAGCATTTCAAAAGATAACCTTCTGCTGTCTTGACTTCACTATTCACTCAGTATTGCCAGGAGCGTATGGAAATCTTTATAGCTCATAGACATTTGATAAGATCTTTCAGTTTGCCATCATTTAGTACCCCTTAGACACTCCCTTAGATGAATGAAGAGAGCACAGATAAGACTGAGTGTGAACAGTCTTTATATTTTGTGTAACAGTACAAGCATCTGTGAAGAACAGTAGAGTTGTATCTGGGGCATGTATCAACTGGTATAAGGTCTGAATTTATCTGAGTTACACAGATGATGTTTTGGTTCTTTAATTGGAAAAATTAAAAGAAGCAAAGCAATGTAGAAGAGCTGATGTGCCAGATCACCTAAGAAAAGTATTTTAAGAGCTAAGTTTCTTGCCTGCAGAGTAATTTACTCTCTATATCCTTGTAATTAACTGCTCCTTTCTGAGGTGAGGTGACTTTATTCTTTTATTGCAAAAGTTTGACAAAAAGACAGATTGCTTTAACAAATTCTGCTCCATTTCTGTCCTGAAAACTAAGTTATTGTGTCCTACCTGCAACAAAAGATATAATATTACTTGCCTGCTATACAGCATAGTGCATTTATCTGCACCCTCACATGATATCTCTTTTTCAAAACAGACATTAAGGAATAGCTTGAGAAGATATGATTTAAAAAAAAAAAAAAAAAAAAAAAAATCAGTCCCTAATGGAATTGCAAGAGGTTTCTATGACTTTCCAGCACCTGAGCTGTTCCAGTGAATGCTGTTTCAATCCTGAGAGGGGAACAGAAAAGGTTACAGAAGGGTCATGCAGATAGGGGAGTTACAACACTAGCAAAGAGAGCTGGACAGGGCAGTGCCGAAAGTAAAGTTCAGATAATTTGAAGGGCAGTAATGTCAGGCTGTTGAGGACAACAAACAAACAAATGTTTTTCTTTCATTAGATGATGGATATCAACAGAGCCACTGTAATGATGCTGCCTGTGCTTTGTGCTGCATCTAGCATCTTGGGATTTTCCCATGAAACCATTTTAAAACCTAAGTACAAGGAGATGGAGGGACAGAGAGGTGGAAACAGAAGAAAAGAACAGGTAGAATTCAGAAATTACCTTCTTTTCATTTTCTAGAGGCAGTGTATAAAATTTGACATGACTGCACTCAGTATTCAGTGGGACTTCTCAGTTATAAATGTAATAAACCAGTGTTTTTTGTCACTTTTTTGAGCTATCTTCCCAAGTTATACACTCTTCTGTGCACAAGGGAATTTCTCTAGTAATTACTCCTGAGTACCCAGAGGAAAAAGTGTTAATTACACCACGTAAACACAAAAATAGATCCTTATGCCATCAGTTCCACAACTGACAGGAAACCTTACTCCGGATATCTAGGGTTTTTGTTTTTTTTTTTTAGTTTTCATATTCCTCTTGCAC